CCTTAAAAAAAAAATATAGATTTACTTCTTTCTAATGCTTTTTACAGATTATTTGTATTTGTGATAGAAATAAAGTTTTAAATTTTTTAAAGTGCACACGAACTTTATGGACACCATGTATATCCACAACTTTCAACAACACTGTGGTTGTCGTCGCAACTAGGTTTTTATGGGAGAAAGTTGCTAGCCCCATGCCCAACCGGTTTTGAATTCAGAATTGTCTTTCTTGGCTGGTTAGCAAACCAAAGCAAAAGAAGTCAGTCTACCCTGCTATTTAACTTGGGGTAGAGAAGAGGGGGATGTATACCTTTCCCAACGGTTTTTCCACTTAAGTGAATGGAAGGAACTCCATTGGAATTTGAACTCCAATTTCTTTTTCCAAGTTGCTTATCCATTAAGCCAACTCTACAGGTTTACCATACATATTTGCAAAAAGTTGAAAAGATAACCATCTTTTCAACTTTTTTTTTTTTTTTTCTCTTATTGCTATCGACTCCCGTGGTAGATTTTACTGTTTGAAAAAGCTATATATAGAAATGTGATAAAACCCAAATATGAAACTGGACTCATACATTCTTCCTCCACCCACCCACCTTCAATCTGATAAATTACTCTTTGATATTTTTGTTGTCAATTCTAAAGGAATAAAATGTGTAAATCCAGATGCTCACAACTTATTTTAGTGAATTTATGGGGGAAGAGCAAATGAAAGAGAAAAAGAAAAAATTTTTTTTTTTTTTTTTTTAAATTTATAATTAGTTACTGGGCTTTGTTTATTTAAAATTTACTTGTTCAGACATTTTTATTTTTAATGTAGTTAGTTCACTGATGTTTAGAAATTTATAAATGTAAAATTCTTGTAAATAACTTTAATTAGGTTTATAAATCCCAAAAAGTTCATATACAGATAATTCAAGGACCCAGTGGATAAAGACGTTGGTGAGATCCAGTGACTAGACCCAAAAGAGTTGTGAGTTCAATACTAGGCCACAGCAGTAATGAACCAAAACATGTAAAGTTGAGTTAAAGGGAAATAAATAAGACACAAGGAAGAGGCATAGCATGTGGAACTAGAACAATCTATGAAATAAAGGCTTTAGTTTGAAATTCCAATCCCCTGAAGAAGACCACTTTGAATATGGCAATGAGGATAACAGTCTGAATAATGCAAGTAATCATAATACTTCATCTCAGATATAGACAAAAATTGTCTTAAAAAACAAAAAAAAAAAAACACATTTTTTTTTAATGGTAACATTGCCAAATAATTCAGTTTTTCTGATCAAGAAAACCTTCCACTAATATTTACATCATATTCTGCAATAATTTCACTAAAGCATTGTTATAGGATTTGACATTCCAGACTGAAACTTGCCTTGAAATTTTTTATTTTTTTAAATTTGCAGTCAGATCAAAATGTTCATATGGTTGTCATGTAACTTGTTAAGAAATATGTCACTTACATACAACTACTTTCTCAGATCAATAATTAAAAGTAACTTAAAAAAAAAAAAAATAAAATAAAACCTGTAGGGCTTAGCAAGGACCCTCCTTCCTTGAACCTTATGGACTGGCACTACAGAATCACTAAGAACTGTACCAGATAACAGAAACCACATCACTTGAAGTCTTTCAACAACTAAAATGAATAACAAATCTAACTCAGAAAATAATGACATCAAGATGTTGACATTCCACACTACTTCAAACAAAAGGTTAGTAAGGAAACCTCTCTGAGTACAAGAAAAAGCAGTAAGTGTAAGTAATAAACCTACTTTCCTGAAAAATTGTTTTAAGAGTAAGATTTCATAAATTTTACTGAGGGTAGTAGCACTGACTGTTCAGTCAATAAATGCTGAATGTTTCCACATAAGGAAACAACTAATATTACCATTACTATTTCAGCCATTACACTCTCCAGCCTTCTTCAGGTATCTTTTTTTTTTTTTTTTTAATTGAACCGTTTCTAGAAAGATTTTTGAACAAGATATAAGTTGTTTTTCTTCTCTCCTCCACCACCTCATGTTTAAGAGGGACCTATCCAAAAATAATTCCTTTTATTTTTATGAAACTTTCAGCTACAAAATACTCCCTACACCACAAGCATAGTCACTGCCATTTCCATCATTATGCATTTTGAAGTTTTGCCAGCAGCAAATTTTGTGCAGGGTCATCCAAATTGCTCTTACCATCTGTGCTCACATCCATGAGAACGTCTCCGTAAACATTCAGCATTGTTGAATATCAATAGGTACAGTTTTTTTTTTTAACATGGAATAATTCAATGACACTTCTGATTTGTATGCAATCTATATCAAAGCAAAAAGTCCAACTTCCACCATAACACCAACATTGCTTTCAACGTGACCCTCATATTTTATAAATTAGCTTATTTGATTTTTTTTTTTAATTTTCAGTCATAAAAAAAAAAAATTCAGATTAATTTTTACAAATAATTAGCTTATTTGAAATTTTAAAAATTTCAATCATTAAAAAAATTTTTTAAAATTTTTTTAATTTAAAAATTTTTTTTCAATTTTTTAAAATTTTTTTAATTTAAAAATTTTTTTTCAATTTTTTTAATGATTGAAATTTTTTTTTAAATTTCAAGTAAGCTAATTTTAAAAAAATTTTTAAATTTCAAATAAGCTAATTTATTTCTCTTGTTTTTTTTTTTTTTTATAAAATAAAAACAAATAAATCTCATTAACCATTTATTATGATCTAAGTTGGAATGTGTTTTTGTTTTTATGGAAAAACATAAAATTGGGCTTTGTTCAAAATGATAGGGAGGAAAACTGCAATAGGGTTATATTTCTAAAGATAAAAAATATGACAGGTGGAGTGATTAATTTTTCCTGAAATTTAATGAGGCAGAATTTTTTTTTTTTTTTTTTTAAATCATGTAAATCTTTAGATATGTCCTGCTTAATGTGACATAATTCTTCAACTGTGGAAATGCATTTTTCTGATCCCCTTAAAGATATGAATAAAAAGACTGGCATCTTTCTTTAGGATTAACATGGTCCTGGATTGATACAAGTACATCAATTGAGTCACTGTATTTAAAAAAAAAAAAAAAACACATTAAAACATGGGAAACCCAGGAAAAACAAATGGATTTGATACATAAGAATAGCCGAGAGTCTGAAATCAGGTTTACCTCACAGCATAGTCCAAGAAAATTTCTTTTAGAGGAAAAACAAACAACAAAATGAAGTAATTATGTTATCAAACCTGACCCTCACCATATTAAAATGAGATAGAACTCAAGCTGTGTCAAATGAGATCAAAGAAATAAAGAACGGTCTATTAATAAATTAAATTCCTACAAAAACAACATTCATTCAAACAATGAGAAGTTTGAAAGAGTTCAAAATGGCTTTAGTAATGATATCTAGTTTATTCTAAACTATGCTTTCTATGTATAGAGCACTCTGTGGGAATTAGTATTTACCATGGTGACAACAGGACGTGTGTCAAATTTTCTGTTCACCTTGTTCTCCAGCAAGGTGATTATTGAAATTTTTAGATAAGAAATGATTATCTCCAGATTTACTTAGACAAGTGTCCTTACCTGGGAAAAGGCCATCAGGTACAACAGACAAAACTGTGGACATAACAAGATGAGGAGACTAGTCAGAGTAAGTCAATGTATAATAAGAGGGGAGCAATCACTTTCTGGCCATTGGGTCCCCGTTTATAAATAAACATTATTATAACATTGATTTAAAAAAAAAAAAAAAAAAAAACGGCATTACCGAAAACGTTATGAAATGAAATCTTCACTTTGTCTAAAAAATTCAAACGTAAGAAAGTAAAGGAGATAACTTTATACCTGAATGGTTCATTAATTAAATTGTTAAATTCGTCTGTAGCTTAGTTACGATAATTAATGACTTAACAAGTTGGTTAGTTTAAGGGTATTATTTAACGGCTTTATTTTGTTCAATTTTTTTTTTTTGGGGGTGGGACAACAAAATAGAATATAAATAAAAAAGTAATATGGATTCATACAGAAGACTTTTTATACATTTAATTTATTTATGCATTGCATTTTGAATCAGACAAATATTTGAATGAGTTTGTTTTTCGTCATTTTTTCATGCCTTTTAAATATTCCTAGAAGATTTCAGTGATGACTTTAGAAACAAAAAAGGTATCCATTATCGTAAATAAACAACAAATTTTTTAAATAATATACAGGGTATCCAAAAACATGGACTTTAGTTTTTTGACTTCATATAACTTCTTGAATTTTTTTGAATTTTTTTTTCAGATCTCCACATTTAATCTCATTTTATATTTAACTTAAACCGTTAATCTTCTTTGTAAGTCAATAAATATTAGTATTTCTTAATTTTAACTATTAATCTTGTTTGCAAGTCAATAAACTTTATTGCATTATCATTTAAAGAGTAAAGACATTTTTGGGGGATGCCCTGTATAATTTATAAAAGCACTATTCAGATATAAAAGTTATCTCCCTTGAATTTTCTAACTGCAAATTCGAATTAATGATTTTTGGTGAAGTCAGTTTCCCTGTCGAATGACATTTGCTGTTATGATTACCTCCCTTAAACCAAAACCCTGAGAATTTCATGTTGAAAACATTTTGCCAAAGATGGTAACGACGTAATGAAATGAGTTGATTACAAGGCTTACTTTCTATGGATACGGAAGATCAATATGAATAAAATCAAAGATTTAATTTGTTCAATTATTTTCCAGATTGTACAAAACAAATATAAAAAGTGATAACTTTTTATGACTCACTATTTACAGTAGCCGTTAAACAAACTTAGCTCATCTAACGTCTGCTTTGTGACGAGGCCTTCTCTCAAGGGGGAAAGAAATCAAAAAGATGATAATGAAGATTTTTCTTTGTTTCCTATGACCTAAAGGGATTTTGAAAATTAAAAAACGGATCGTAAAAATGACCAATGAAAATAAAGGTGAAATACTGGTGACTCCCCCAACCCCAAAAAACAACAAATTAATCAAATCTCAGCTTCATCAGCATCTGAAGTGGCAGCTGCAGCATCCAGTACAATATATTCCCGGTTTTCATATGTCCAGAAGTCATTAAGATCAATCAGTATGCTAAGAACTGTGTCTCCTTTGCCACTGAAAAAAAAAAAAAAAAAAAAATTAAAAACATAAAAATAAGTGAATTGGTTTATTTCAAGTTGACTAAATCAACTATTACTTGCATTGTTCACACTATTCAAACTGTTATCCTCATCTTCATTGTTATATTCACAATGTTTCAGCCATTGTATGCTCCAGCCTTCTTCAGGTGATTGGAATTTCAAACTGAACCCTTTGTGAATATGGCAATGAAGATGAGGATAACAGTCCAAATAATGTAAATAATACAAGTAATCATAATACCTCATCTCAGAGATATAGACAGAGATATAGAGAGACATAGACATAAAGGCGGAGCGCATAACGGCTAAACGTTGAATATGGCAATGAAGATGAGGATAACAGTCCGAATAATGTAAATAATGCAAGTAATCATAATACCTCATCTCAGAGATATAGACAGAGATATAGAGAGACATAGACATAAAGGCCGGAGCGCATAAACGGCCAAACGTTGTGAATATGGCAAATGAAGATGAGGATAACAGTCAGAATAATGTAAATAATGCAAGTAATCATAATACCTCATCTCAGAGATATAGACAGAGATATAGAGAGACATAGACATAAAGGCCGGAGCGTACAACGGCCGAAACGTTGTGAATATGGCAATGAAGATGAGGATAACAGTCTGAATAGTGTAAATAATGCAAGTAATCATAATACCTCATTTCAGAGATATAGACAGAGATATAGAGAGACATAGCCATAAAGGCCAAAGTGTACAACGGCGAAAACATTATGACTATTGCAATGAAGATGAGGATAACAGTCCAAATAATGTAAATAATGCAAGTAATCATAATCCCTCATCTCAAAGATCCAGTCACCTGAAGAAGGCCAGCGTATACAATGGCCGAAACATTGTGAATATGTCAATGAAGATGATGATAACTGTCCAAATAATTCAAATAATGCAAGTAATCATAATCCCTCATTTCAGAGATATAGACAGATAAATCAACTCTGTTGGGAAAAAATGTATGACAAAGGGGGAAAAAGTTTTCTTGTGATGCATTGTGTCCTTTACGACTTTAGCAGACTAAATTTGTTATGTTGGTACAACTACAATCAACTAGATTTTTAAAAAAATAAAATAATAGTCTTAAATTCCCAGCATCCCTGGTTCATACAGCTGTATAGTCACACCAATATAACAAAATGTAGTCCGATGATGTCCTGAAGAACAATACGAGTCTCCAGAAATTTTTTTTCCACATATTTTTCTTGACATATAAATCAGCTATGTAAGTTTACTTGTTAATAAATACATAAAAGTCAATTTCAGATGGTGTTCCCTTGGTTTGGTTTCAACTAGCACAAGGCCTTCACAGTGGAACTTAGTAAGAATTAAATTTATTACTTTGGCTTGATAATCATTATCCCACAGCAAAGCACATGCAGATGACAGTGTTGATAGCAGACACAGAGAGAAAACTACAAGAAGTCCTACAGAGGAAAGCAAGAAGAAAGGACTAAACATCAATTGCAAGAAAACAATGTACGGTTGTCAGCAAATGCGACAGCCTAACATGCAAATTACAAATTGGAGATACCAATAAAAAGCAAGTACAACAATTTAAATATCTGGGAAGTGTTTTAATAGAGGATGGAAAGAGTGACAGTGAAACCGAAAGGTGCATTTGGATAGTGAAAGATACTTTCGGATTCAAGGAAGAAAAGGCTTCATATTTATGTCAATACAAAAGTTTGGATTTGAAGATGAGTCCAAATTCAAGGAAGTCTCATTCAAGGAAGTCAAGATTATGCTATGTTCAGATTTGGGGAGTTCTACTATAATATTTCATGTCAGCCCGAGAAGGCACAATGATTTACTCTCCCGGAAGTTAGCATCAGCCATCATGAAAAAAGGGTTCTCTCATTGAGTACTGTTCTGATTCAAGGAAGAAAAGGGTTCATATTTATGTCAATACAAAAATTCAGATTTGAAGAGTCCAAATTCAAAGTCTAGATTATGCTATGTTCGGATTTGGGTGGTTCTACTGTATTTAGTATTTGGAAGACATCTTTTGCTATTTCATCTTTCAGATTTCTGTCTCAAATTATTTTTGTTATCCACACATTTGTTATAAGACTTCCTAAATAATATTTTACATTTATTAAGTAACTTTCTATGATTGTATTTCAAGTACAATTTAATCATTAAAAGCAGAGTGAAATGAGAATAAAGTTGTAACTTCCAACAAGAGTTGAACTTACATCTTTTATCTGAGGAATTTCTTTCATGAAGGAGTCACCATAAGTAAAAATGCTTTTATTTTCTATGTTTTTTCTGCTAAAAAGTCATGTTCGTTTCAAATTCGATTGAGTAAATTTGAAATTTCCTAATTTTCCTCAAATAACATTTGAAAAAAGTATATTTTATTTTTGCAAGTTTTTTTAAAACAAAGAATTAACTTTTGTTTACAAATGTCTCAAAAATGGCAGACATTCTTGATTAGACTGAAAACAAAAAAATAAATTTATTCTAATCAATATAAATTCAGTTTTAAATACACCAAAGTATTTTGCTAACTGGATATAATAAATTTACTTCTTTACGTTTGAATTAAAGCTAAAAAGAAAGCTCCAAGAACAATTTTTCTTTTTTTAAATTAATTTTAAACTATACATATGCCATTTTTTGGAAAATTAGTGGAGATCCCTATAGCAGTATAATATACCCTTATTTACAATAGGATACAAATCATTCAAACAAAGTTCAAATCTAAACTCATATTGCTACATCATTTCTCTAAGTCTTCATGCAATATTGTCTGCTTACTTACTCAGGCTTGCAAGCATCTTAGATTATTTGAATTCTATGATTGAATTATTTTCATTTTTATAAACTTCTCTTTTTCATCCACTTTTTATCAGAATATTCTCTTGATCAAATTTTGAAATTTTGTTTTGGATTTTCTGGTCTGTAGAGCACTGTCCATTTTCATAGAATTGAGGTATTTTTTTTTTTTTTTTTAAACACATTTATTTCATTTTTGGCTTCTCAGGTGCTATTTATTCAGTTTTTTATTTATTTAGTCAGGTTTATTCTCTACTAAACCTGCACAAAATCTAGCCCATGGGTTACACATTGCAAAGGAGACTACCATGTGTAACACATAAGAAAATCAATTTTTTGTATTCATCAAAATAAAATTTGGTGATGGTTACATACAAAAAAACAATCATTTTTGTGAAACAATGACTTTAATCAACCAATATTTAAGTGTTTTTTTTTTTTCTTTTTAATTGTGCAGGCCTGTTGTAAGGGGTTCTGAACACAGAAACCTGCCCAGAAAGCGTGGCATACCAACAAAATCTACTCTCTCCCAGTAAACTAAAAAAAGACAAACTTCACACAATATTGTTATTCTTTTATAATTTTTTTTTTTTTTTTTTTTTTTACTGGGTTGTCACTGTCTTTTTTTGTCTTTTTAAAATAAATCCCTAAATTTATTTCTGGGATTTTTTGTTCTTTTTTTTTTCTCTCTCGAGTAATAGAAAGAAAATCCAAGTGTAGATGTAGACATGAGAAAGAAAAAGAAAAGAAGAAAAAAAAAGAAAAAAAAAAAGGAAAAAAAGCAAGGCCAAAAAGCGAGAATAAACAAGGATTTTGCATAGACCAGGGCTACACAAGCTATGACCCGCATGACTACATGCAGCCTTCAAGACTACCCATTGTTGCCTGCAGGGAATTTTCAAAATAGTCAATTACTCTGTGTTCATTAGAATAAATTTGACAATCACATACGAAAAATTCATTTTTGTGGAATAATGACTTTATTCAACCAATATTTCACTCTTTGTATCTTATTGATATTTATAAAATCTCTTTTCAAAAAGATAGCAGATTCTCACCACCCTTCTCTCTATATATCTGTTTCTATCTCACTTATATATATATCTCCCCCTCTCTACATATATATGTTTCTATCTCCCCTTCTCCACACATACCGGGTAGAACAGAAAAATTGACAAATCATGTAAAAGCAAAATCATCCATTTGTTAGATTAAGCTCTGAACCATTTTATCTTAGAAATGATTAAAGATATTTTACTGGAATTCTTCAAGGGTTTTGTAACACTATTGGAATCTACTTTGAGCAATAAGAATGTATAAGTACTCTCCAAGTATCATGATGGAATTGATCATAAATGAAAATGACATGTTCATCATTAATTAATCATAGCTAAGGATCATGAAATATTGAAATAAACTTTAAATATATATGTATTACTTCAGGGTCATTTCCCAACTTATTCAAGATGATCTTAGCTCTCTCTAACCTTCTATCCTGGAGTAACAAGGTACCTCACAGGTTTCATATATGATTTCCTTTTCAAGCCTTTTTTTCACTGCTCTTTGGACTGTCATGGCTGAAACACCTCTCCCACATACCAAATGTCTTATGAATTGAGTTGGATCTTTTCTAATTGATCTCTTTAGCTCTAAGTTAAAATGATGACCCCTCTTCCTGTGTGACCTCCTGATTCAGTTTTCCTGTTCCCTCTTTTTTTGAACTTCCCTTGATGGCTTTTGAAAATGGAAACCAGGCTCTGAATGAACCTTTTCCTCTCACCATTCCTCAGATGAGAAGACAGTGGGTCTGACACAAAACAATTTTAACCTGCTCTCTTTTTTTGCTGAATAACTGATTTTGCAGTGATTCTTACAAAAGATGGTGTCAAGATGGGTAAACATTTGAAAATCTGGGAAAAAGAAACTCAATTAGTTTAATGGTTTTTAGATATTAAACATTTTGTGGGATGGATAATTATCCCATGCTGTTACACATTTTGGACAATTTTGCTGTTACACCACACACACACACATATATAATTTTTTTTAAGCGTTTCACCCCAAGCAAGGTGGGAAGCCACTAGGATGCAAGGGGTTACAGAAAATTTGGAGCAAGATCACATAGGAATGATAGAAGAAAGGATGAGGAGAAGGGTAGTGGATAGATCAAAGCAACTGGAGATGTCGATTGACATTACATTTGAATATATATATATATATATATATATACACACACACACTAGCAGAGTTACCTGGCATTGCCCAGGATTTAAAAAGTTAAAAATAAATCTATAACAACAATATAACTTCCAATTCATTTATTCAAACACAAAAATATCTTTAAACGGTTTTTACATTACAATACTTCTTGGTAGATGATATTCTTTGTCTTTCCTTGTAGAGCATAAACAAACAAATTAGTTTTATTTCCCACATGTGAACAACCAACATACAACTGCTCATGAGAGAAACAGGATTCTTCTAACTGTAATCCAGTAACTAATAGTGTTTGGCCTTGTACTTTGTTAATAGACATAGCAAAACTTACTTGTTATCCATTTTTATGAATAATGGCCTTTCTTAAGTCTTTGTTCAAGAGTATATTATACTCTTATAAGAATCTCCACTAATTTGCCGAAAAAGAGCATATCTATAGTTTAAAATTAATTTACAAAATGAAAGATTGTTCTTAAAGCCTTCTTTTTAGCTTTAACTAAAAAGGTAAAAGAATAAATTTACTCTACCCAGTAAGCAAATTGCTTTGGTGTATTTAAAACTGAATTTATATTGATTGGAATATTTTTTTTATTTTTTGTTTTCAGTAAAATCGATGATGTCTGCCATTTTGAGAGATTTGTAAACAAATGTTAAATTCTCAGTTTTAAAAATCTTATAAAAATAAATATACATTTTTCAAGGATTACTTGAGTAAAATTAGAAAATTTGAAGTTTACTTAATCTAATTTGAAAAAACAGTACTTACATTTTAGCAGAAAAAAAACGTAATAGAAAAAAAAAAGCATTTCTTAACTATGGTGACTTGTTTGTCAGGTGTTGATTGATGGTATTGACAGTTGAGGTCAGCAGAAGTCATCGTATGGATGAATAGAAATGACTGATTTTGCTTTATAGCCTTACATCTGAAGATGATTTGTGGAAAAATAATTAAAATTTAAAATATTATATAACATTAAAATAAATTTAAAATTTCATAAATAAGATAATATAAAAATGAAATATACCAAAATTTCATAAGAGCGGTACCTATAATTTTTACATACACCTCTTATGGAATTTCATGGTATTTTATTTATTATTAATTTTTATATTATCTCAGGAAATTTTAAAATCTTAAAACATGTGACATTTTAATGATAATGTCATGTATGAACATCCGTATATATAAAAAAAGGATTGTTTATACACATCTAGAAACAAAGCAACATTCTTTTTTTTAAATACTGGTCATTTGTAGATTGTAACGAGTTCTTAGTTTTATGATTACTAAAAATATTTTTACTTAATAACAGAACATTAAAAGTGAGTTTTAAAAGATTTGACAACTTCATGAATTATTGCAATTGCAAAACTTACAAAAATTAATTTTTCAGTGGAAATTTTTTTTGCTTCAGACAATATTATCCTTAGCATGTTATTCATTAAAGCAAAAAATTTTCTAATTCAATAATGTCTTAGTTTTATTAGGCTTAGTATTTTACAATTCAGAATTGATTTTCAGTAACTGGTCATTCGATTTTAGATTGTTTGTTTTTATTATTCTTGTTTGTTTTTTTCTTTTTTTATTATCCCTTATTAATTTGTTTCATTTTTTGATCATTTTTTTAATTAAATTTTTAATTAGATTTAATTTTCTTTATAAAAAGACGAGCATTTAGTTGATGTACAAACACATACAGACATAAACTTTTTTATATATACGTTTTCATTGGTTCAAAGATATTTCACATAGGCTCACAAATTTGTTTTGTCTTTTTTTTTTCTGCTCACCAGTCAATCTCTTAAAAATCAAAGTTTTTTATAACTAAGGCAAGCAAATTTCTCTCTATCCTTTTCCACAGCTTGCCCGAATTTGAAAAGAGTGGGTAAAGGGAGTTATTAAAAAGAAATGCACTCAGTCACTGTACAAACAAACATACATAGATACAATCTCTTATATATATATATATATATATAAATATTTAAAATATAATAGGAGGCTAAAAAATAAAATAAAAAAGGGGGGGGCACCTAGAAAGGCATGAACACCAAAAAAGTGCTCAATGCAAGCTATGAAATATAAGATATATAATGCAGAGCGAGATGCCTCAGAAATCTATCACAACCACACTACCCAGGTTTCGATCTCCTCGGGCAGGTTGAAAAAGCTGTAGTATAGTGAACTCCACAATAAACTTATAGAACACCAGAAGGTGGATGGTACTGGTGGGAGTGAGACTTAAAAGAGGGAGGGTCAGAACACCAGGAAGTGGATGGTATTGGTGGGAGTGTGACTAAGAAGAAGGAGTGTCGCAAAAAATAAAATAATAATTTTAAGGGAAAACACTCATCTGGGCTCATAATTGTTCAATAAATATTTGTGTATATATATATATGAGAAAGAGAGAGAGAGAATTAATATAAGTAAAAGTTCACTTCGCTGATTAATGTTACCTTCAGCATCTCAACTCCAGAATTTCATAGGCAGACTTGTCCATCCACTCTTCAGGGGATATTTTTGGCTTCATACTATCTCTCTCTCTCTCTATATATATATATATATATATATATATCCAATGTGATGAGAATGAAAGTAATATATAAATTCCAACATTCAAAGCATTAATCCAAAAGAGAGCTCGATACCGATAGTAGAGGGATAATTATTCCATAACTATAAACGGTTTAAAATTATAAATCACCTACTTTGATATATTCCCTACCCTGTTATGTACCTCTCCACTAACTAAATTATGATTCTTAAAAAAAACTTTTTTTTTCATATATATTACTGGTAATATTTTCAGATAAATCATTTTACACCCATACTTATCCTACACGCTTTTTGTTTTCTAGGGAGAAATCAAGATGGTGCGACTTTGGGGTATTGGCATGAAGACAGCCACTGTGGCCCACTGCAAAACAACAACTATAGCTCTAATCAAACACCAGCATGAACTACAAAAGAGTTAGTGATAATGTCACATTTGTACTAACAAACACAATTATAAAAACTGTTGTAATCAGGATGTGGGTGATCATGGATAAAAAATTGTGGAGAGTTATGATCGCCCATGTCCTGCACATAGAAGGAGAAGAAGAATTGCAATTAACAAACAAGACAATACTCACCTATAAATCAAGTCTTGTAATGTTATCTTAAGTGGATCTTTTGGCTTAACCATATCAAAAATTTCATCTTTCACATCTTCAAAAGAAATTGGGTCCTGATTATGCCTTCTCATTTGTTCTTGTATTGCCTGAAGGAAAAAAAAATGTCAGCAAAACAAATTTAGAAATGAATGTTAAAACAATTTGAAATTGGCATCTAGTTTTGTTTTGTAATGCTTCAGGCAATAAAATTCAGGTTGGAAGAATTTTCATTGCAAAAATAGACTAACAAACACATGGCTGATTGATCTGTTTTTGTTATGGCTTATCAAACTCTTCTGGGTTATTTAAAAGCAAAACATTTTGGTTTGGTTTGGTTTAAGGCATATCAACCTCAATGGTTTGCCTTCAATATGTCTTTAATACCAACAAGATTTTTATTGCTGGTAAGATTTTTTTTCAAAAGGTATTTCTGGTAATATTTTTGCAAAAAAGTACTTTTGGTAATATTTTTATCTTCAAAAATTTATTGCTGGAAATATTTTTGTACAAAAAATGTATTGCTGGTATTAAAACCTATTTTGATCCCAGTTTGGAGGTTAACTATTTGCCCATAGCTGGGATCCTAACAGGTGCCACCACCCCAGGTCAGGGCAAACCTAGGGACACCAGCAATTAAGTTGGTGGTTCCACACTCCTCAAAACCTCCTGATCGGAGGCCTTGATGTCGGATGTAGTATACTGTCTTACCCAGGACGCAGATGTAGTTTATCGTCATACCCAGGATGCAAAACATTTTGGATTGCATTTTCCTTTTTTTTTTTGCCAATGACTATTGCATTAACAACTTTTTCAAAGATAACAAAGATTTTTTTTTCCAGATACAAGTCTTACAAGTGAAGAGATGTATTCTGACCTTTCTCAATGGTATTTGTGCGTAAGTGAATGCAATGAACACAACTGTAATTTGAACTCAGCATTCTAATTACTCATTCTGAGCAACTATCTATTACACCAACTGCACACCCTAACAAATATATTGAACAAGGAATGAATGCAATGTACTTGTTAACTGTGTGATATCCTAAATGATTGCATTTGTGCCATAATTAAAATAATCAATGAAATGTACCAGTTTTAAAATAAAAATAATGAAATTTACCTATCCTATTTATTCTTTTTGCATACATGCACAGGGGTGAGGCGTTATTTTGCATTTTTACCTTATAATAATTTGGTTGTTGGTTGGTTGTCTAGTGGCATATCAACCTCTATGGGTTATTTAATGCCAAAACTTAAATATTTAAAAGTAGATGAGTTTTTGGAAGAACAAATGTGGAGAATGACAATTAAATTTTTCTACTGCCAAAATGCAATAAAACTTCCCAAATCAAGGGATTGTTCACTTTTTGTCACTTGTTGGTCAAAGGGTTGACAAGGGGATAAAAATAAAAAAAATGATAAATCTCAGATGCAAAAAACAACTACACACAAAAGCACGATAAGAAAGAATTTTGAATGATAATTAAAATTTGGCTATTTGGGCTAGATTATGCCTTGGGGAACAGGTTTGATCAGGTGACCAAGAGAGAGAGGGCCCAGGTGGAATATCAGGGAAGGTGGAGGATTTTCCATACCCCCTCAGGCAGTGATGGTGGGAGGAACACACACAAAGCAGGAAGGAGACAGGTTTGATCAGGTGACCAAAAGAAGAAGACCCAGGTAGAATTCCAAGGAGGGAGGAAGGACTCTCCCATATTTAGACATTCATTGTTTGGGGAACATGAGCATTCCCAGAGCACATCATGCCCCACCCCAGCCCTTGTGCAGGGGTCCATAAAAACAGAACGCCAAATAGAGGAAGACATGACAGCAGGGACACCACAGAGAGACACGAGAGAGACTGTGCAGACAAGACCAAATTGGACAAGAATCACCTGATCTCATATGATTTACCACCCTGAAGAAAAAGCCTCCAACTTGAAGCCTTGTTCCAGAAGTGTCATTTATAACCATAACAGCAGTGTGTCATGATAATCGGGAAGGTTTGAGAGTTATTGCATAGAGAATATAGTTCTGCTTAAGCCATAAATAACTGTATCATCACCTTTGTATCAAGTAATTGTATATAAATATTTTTTTTTTCTTCTTCTTTGTGACTTTACTCTGACCGGACCAAACCAAGTCATAGATTCCAGTCGACCATTCAGACCAAGCCAAGTCATAGATTCCAGTCGACCATTCAGACCAAGCCAAGTCATAGATTCCAGTCGACCATTCAGACCAAGCCAAGTCATAGATTCCAGTCGACCATTCAGACCAAGCCAAGTCATAGATTCCAGTCGACCATTCAGACCAAGCCAAGTCATAGATTCCAGTCGACCATTCAGACCAAGCCAAGTCATAGATTCCAGTCGACCATTCAGACCAAGCCAAGTCATAGATTCCAGTCGACCATTCAGACCAAGCCAAGTCATAGATTCCAGTCGACCATTCAGACCAAGCCAAGTCATAGATTCCAGTCGACCATTCAGACCAAGCCAAGTCATAGATTCCAGTCGACCATTCAGACCAAGCCAAGTCATAGATTCCAGTCGACCATTCAGACCAAGCCAAGTCATAGATTCCAGTCGACCATTCAGACCAAGCCATAGATTCCAGTCGACCATTCAGACCAAACCAAGTCATAGATTCCAGTCGACCATTCAGACCAAACCAAGTCATAGATTCCAGTCGACCATTCAGACCAAGCCAGTCTTGCGATCAATTAATCACAAAGTGGGGTGAGACAAGGCCTGGGCCGAAATGATTAACTCTACGATCAGCCAAGGGGATCAAGGTTGAATACAGAATGGCAGGGGTAGACATCATAGTGATTAGTAGCCATTTTTGTCGTTCCAAGCTACTCGGCTGTTAGCATACAAACTGGTGCATATTAGCTTTATTTATTTTTCCTTTTTTTACCTTTAGACTCTTTTTCATTTTCAGTTTTTATACTTGGCTTAGTTATTGTTTTTTTAATAAATCCTGTGCTACAACAATCTCTGGAGAACATTATAGTTTATCAGATCCTCTTGGAACAATTAGAATTAGCCCCCAATAACACTGAGTACAATTTCCAACTGATGATAAAAGGCTGACAAAAGCAGTAATTAATCTATTAAAGAACATCAATCAAATTTTTACGAGAAAATTTTTTTCTGGAAAATAAATCAGTCTGAAACCTAAAAATTTATCTAAAAAGTATCAGTAAATGATAACATTGCAAATGTCAGTCAAATACCGAATCCCAGCCAAGTAGATTTTGATTAGTTAGGTCACGCTGTATCCAGATGAGACTCAACTGGATACAATCTAATTAAAATTATGTCTGCTCTAATAAATCAGAGTATTGCATGCATGTATATATTGTATACTCTATATACATATATTCAAAACAGCAAAGAAAGTACTCCATAAACCCAGCCAACCATAATTAATACCCTAAAAATAAAGAAAATCACTTTACCATTTAAATACTAGTTTATATATTAAAAACAAAGTACAGACAAGTGTGCATGTGTATGTACATTTGTATACAACATGTATGTGTGTGCACATGTGTATATCTATATACATATATACTTGTATGTGCATAAACATACAAATAAAGGCATAGGCATGCAAATTCAAACAATAATAAATAAAAATTTAATTATAAACATAACCTCCTATAATTAATACCCTAAGAGTATCACCAAATCAGATAAGAAAATGAAATAATAGCCATTTTTGATAAGTATATCTAAGAATGGTAGTTCATTAAAATTATGTTCTTGGGGGAATTTGTAATAAACACATTATCACATATCTACCACAAACCTAACAAACACTCAACGATATCTTCATTTCAAGATCCATCACCTAAATTCGCCGAAATTCCATTCCCTATTCCCTAGCATGTAGGATTTGCACTATAATGACTGACAAACGCCTCCAAAAAACCCGCCTAGAATTACATAATGCTCTCAAAAATGAGTTTAACCCACACAACTAATAAACAAGGGTTTTGTGTGACACTATGGGAATGCTAATAAGTTGAAGAGAGAAAAAGGCTTAAATTAACTATGGCAAAACACACTAGACAGACCACATGTACACACACAAAATCCATCTAGTTACTGTATAGATTTCGTCATTTTTAACATGGTGGTAGCTGTTTATTTATGTTAACTTTTAACAGCTCTGTGACAGATTTTCATCTAATGTTGTTCTATGGGGGTTTTAACAGTAAAAAAAAAAAAATAATAATTGAGGAAAATAAACAACTTTTAAGTAGTCAGTAATCTTAAAGATTTAAGAAAATATTCTCTAATCTTTTGAATTTTAGAGAATTTGGGCTCTAAATTTATGACAATTATTACTCTTATTTTCTAATAATGTCATGTACAGGCACAACCATGAAAAAAAAAAAAAAAAGCATGTTTATACACATACAAAAACAATTCAAAATTCTTTTAAAAATACTGAGTTGCCAGATTTTGTAATAAGATTTACGATATAAGATTAGTAAATATAGTTTTACTTAATAACAATATTCCTTAAGAGTTACACTATTTAAACTGAATTTTAAAATTTTAAAATTTTATAAATTATTCTAATTAAAATTGTAAAAAAAATTAAAACAAATCTTGAAAAAGTTCATTTTTCATTGAAAAAAATTTTTTATGAAGACAATATTGTCCTTAATATATCTTAATCATAAAAGCAATTAAAAGCTTCTCTAATTAAATAATGTTTTAATTTTATTGGATTTTTTATCTTACAATTCAAAGCAAATTTTCAGTAAGACAGTGTCCAATTTTACAAAAGATTGGAGATTTAAATTCTCCAAAAAGTTCTGCTTGTTACTAATGTAATTCTATTACATTTATTTGATTTAAAAAGAAATATAGTCTATTACTAATTAAAAGTATAAAAATAATATTTTAAAATTATAGTTCAATATAACGTATTCTAACCCAAACACCCCTTTTAGAAAGAATCTTTAAGTATACAAGTACGCATTTTATGGAAAAATATGCCGAAAACTTTTTGTCGTCAATAAAAAAAAACAGACAACATACGTTGAACAGATGTCAAAATTCATTGAAAAATGCATCCCGACCATCCCTAGACTTAACCTCTTTTTTGAACGTAACTCATAATTGATACAATAATAATTAATAAAAATGAACACACTACCACCCCTGTCTAAATGATTGGATTTCTCTGTATCCTTGGAAACAAAAAATTATGGATTGTATGTGCGTTTAAAACTCAGTAAATTTAAAAATAAGTTATTCCAAAATTCGTTTGAAGATGAAACAGAACTAATGCTTTTAATTTAATTATATAATTAAATTTGAAGTTTTTAGCTTCGGTTTTTGAAACATGGTAATTCCTGTGTAGCAAAGAAACCATATTTTAAATCAGTTATTTTATATATATATATATATATATATATATATATATATATATGCTAAAAACAACATAGTTTTAAGGTATGCTATATTTATATGGCCTTATGGTTGCATTTAAACATGAAACAGACTGTCGCCACTTGACCTCAATGTCGATTTATAGTTATGCATTTTATTCTCCATTTTTGAAATGAGCAAAACAAAACCTTGTATTAGGCACCTAAGTATAAAAGGTTTTTCTCTTGAATTGATTAAAAAGGAAAAAAATTTATATTTCCTCCTAAAAATATTTTGTAGAAAAATTGAAAATGAATGAATTTAAATTCATTCCATGTTACTTCACCTAATTGGGGCAAAATGCTCTGTTTCATCCCAATTAACCGATCTACTCTTTTCTTCAGAGTAGAAATATTTCAAACACTTTTTTTATTTTGTTTAATTAAGAGAAAAAGAAAGAAAAAAGAATGCATTACCCTGTAGAAATAATTCAATGAAAACACATTGAGGAAGCCTTTTTGTTCTACATCGAGAATCCGAAAAAGGTATTGTAAGGCTTGGGGTTCTTTTCTGTTCTCTAACGCCAATACAAAGTCAAGGTAGGTTTTGTAATCCTGAAAAGAAGAATTAAAAACTGACATTTACAGTTATTGCCAGAAACCAATATTTTTTGATGATTTCATAAGAAAACTTTTTGCAGCTTTGAAATATCAACAGCAGTGAAATTTTGACAATTAAGACAAATATCCAAATCAATAACAAAAAAACAAAAAAACAAAAAATCAATCTGTTGAGCAACGCATAAGTGGTAAAGTTGTTCTGATTATTAAATTCTTAACACAGTAGAATCCCTCATATCTAGAGTGCCTCATATCCAGAAATGATCTTGATATGTATATTTGAACTATTTGGGTGATATGTAACTAATTTGAAATTTCTGTTTTTCAGGAAATTTACTTTGGATAATTGCTTATGCTTATTTCACCCTAATGGCTTGTATTGGTGCAAAAGATGATGAGAATAAGAGGAAAAGAACAACTTTGGAGTAATCACAAGAAATGGAAATTTTAAACAGACTAGATGCTGGTGAAAGTTCAACATAGGAAAATCAACATTGTATGATATAAAATCTTCCAAAGAAACTATTCTCCAGTGTTCACACTGTCACAATGAACAAGAAAATAAAAAACATGATTGTGATGAAACCTGGACTGAAATTGAAAAGGTTGTCAATTTTATGGAAAGAAAGCCAGCATTCAGCTATGACAATTGCAATAACGCACACAGAGTTAAAAAGTCTTTCGTTTAAAAAATTTCAAGAACAAAAGCAAAAAGAAATGCGGAAAAAGTTGAGAACAACATTAGAAGAGAAAGAATCATCATGCAACAGCAATTAAAAAATCCTTGTCACATTATTTGTTTTGCATACGTGACATACTTAATTTAATGAATTTTCATTAACATTACATAATTTATTCCTCTTTCCTTAAAATCAATTCTGTTATATTTCACTCACCATTAGATTCTTTTGTTTAATATAAAACATTGAAAATAAATCTTAAACCTGATTTCAGTTCTTTTATTTTAATCTAAATATAACCCCTCATATCTGGAAGGCCTTCTTACTTCTGTCAGGGATTCTACTGTAATAAATTATTTTAGCTTAGAGGCAGACAATAACTTGAATAAAGCAGTTGACTAAATGGAATAAGCCAAATTGACTAAAATAGGGATGCAATCACATCACAATATTTTGACAAGTCCATCTCAGGCCTAATTGAACAATCAAATCACCATAATTGAATTACTGTCACTACTTTATCTCTTATTAATTGTAATTATTTTGAACATAATTGCTTACTGCAGGCAAACCTCGCACAATAATAGGCAAGGTTATTCTATTTAAATTATTAGTTGTTATTTCAGGATTCCACTTGGATTCATACCTCCTCACCCTAATCATCAGTGTGTTTATCAATTCCATTTTAGTTAATCCTTTTATTAGCGTCACAGTCTTCCTCCAGCACTGCAGACCCAGTAAACAGAGGTCAAGCTTAGACTTTTTCATTTATAAGCAGTACATTTAATAATTAATTATCAGTTCTGTGACTTTATCTGTGACATTTTCCTAAACTTAATGAAACAAAATAAATCACCAACAGAGGAGAGACGTCAAAAAAGAAACATCATAATCCAATTTCTAAATAAACACAGATGAAAACAAAACATATTACACAGCACTCACCATCTCGCCATCATAAGTGAGGCATTCTTGGAAGACTCTGTCAAGAAACACATCTGTTAAGGTACCAGTACCATATCTGAAATAAACAGGAAATAAAATATGCAATTTGCAAAGACATTTAAAAAAAAAAAAAAATAGATAAATAAAAATAAGGCATTACTTAAATTAACTGGTCCACAGGAGAGAAAAAAAAGATTTTTAAAAATAATTGTTGCAGATTATAACTAATTTGATCTTCCTCTAAGTATAATCCTTCAGAACACAGGCGATCATAGCTCTCCCCAATTTCCTATCCCTTGTGGCACTTAGGAGTTTTTCTTCTTTTCACTAAAGCTCCAACAATTCACCATCCATTCACACAAGCTTGTCAGGTAGGTGGCTTGCTATCTCCCTCTATCTCTTTTGCCCTCAATATGTGATCCCCCCCCCACCCATGAGGGTTAAGCCTTCCTCACTCTTTATGCGTCCAAGGAATTTCAACTGTCTTTTCCTGATTCTAAGTAGAAGACTTATCATTTTAGAAGCAGGGTTCCATTCATGAAACAGTGTCAAATTGATCCCTGACTTTTTAAAGAGTTACCTATACTTTGTTTTTATTTACACATATAATCATTATAACACATTAATCATAATACACCTGGCCATTTTGGTAAAACATTGCATTATCCAGGTCAGTTGACCTAATCTACCACAGTCCAGTGTTGGCTTTCTGAAACTTCTGGCTTTTTGCAAGGCTAAAATTTACTATTGGAAGGGACGAGATTTCAGATCATAGGTGAGATTAAGAAGAATGCAATGAGGCAGATAATGGCAATTTTGAAAGAGGACTGTTTTGAAAAGTAGAAGGGATGCTGGAATAAATATGCAAGGTTCTAAGAAGAGTAGTTTGAAGGGGACTAAGTCACCATTACTCAGAATAGATCATTTTTTTTAAAGGCTGGATGCATCTAAACGTGCCGACAAATTTCACATGCTTACAGTCTGGGAGTGCCTGAATGTATCCACAATCGAGTAACACTGTATTTTAAGACTGTTGTAGTAAAGAAAAGACTGTGAACTTATAGTAGCAACTGCAATAGATTTCTTCTGTTTCTCGACCGTAACACTTGTAGCCAAATCGCATAAGATTGATTTCATTAAAAAAAAAATTTTTTTAAAAAAACTTATTTTCCATAAATAAACAACAAAAATGATGTTATAACAATCTGAAAAATTTCCCTATTAATTCCCTATCCATGTGATTTCATCCCATAATTAGTTTTGGAGAAAAAAAATAATTGATATCATTTAAAAGAGAAATCAGTTTTCTTTCATATAATATCAACTTGTAATAATTTCTGATAGTTTTTGAGATATTTCAATAATTTAGTCAGGACCCCAGGGGTTTAACAACCAAAATCTCATAAAGGCTAATAATAGGGTTAAAATTAAATCAATGAATGAATACTTTCCATACAGACTAATTTACCAATTAGTAATTTACAAGGGAAGCGAAAAGTGGGTCAACCAAAACAGCAAAAAAATAAAATTATCTCACACACACAAAAGGTCATAGAAACCCCCCAATTGACGATGCAACTATTTACCTAGCTAATTCTTCCTTGCTCAGCATACCATTGTGGTCCCTATCCAGATTTAAATACTGGCCGTACACACGCAGAGCTGAGGGCGCGGAGAACCAGTTGGATTCTTGCATTTCTCTGGAGAGTTCTTCATCACGAAGCTGAAAAAAAAAATAAATAAATAAATAAAGTTCTTGGATCATGAACACAAACAACAACTGCTGTATGGATAATTTGCAGAGTAGATCACAAAGGTCATAAGATGATTCATTTCAAACTAGAAGCTGTAAAATTCACAGGTGTACATATATGTGTGGAACCCCATTAAAGAATTGTAGAAAAATGCAATAGATTTAAATATTCTCAATGGAAACTCATTTTTATGCAAAACCGATTCGCAGAGAAGTCAACTCATTTTTAGACATTTGGTAGCCTCCACATTTGAATTTCTATATTAGTATTCATTAACTAATCAGTGACGTTATCACAAACATGCTGTAGGCCTTGGAATTTTCAGACAATTAATACTTGTTGTCTGCTATGAAATTTTGAAGGCTCATTCCAGAAAGTGATCAACAATAGTTTCCCTCCCAAAATTAGAAAATTAAAATTTGGAAAAACATTTATTAACCAATAAATTTGAATTTAATAAAATCTAATTTTTAGTTTTTCTGGAGCCAATGTTTTGGTTATAAAAGTGATCGTATTAGTAAAAATCAAAGTATATTTTTCATTTTCTTTGTGAACCTTTCACTTGGGGTTTGTTGTTCATCATTTGTAAGTTGAAACACTCAAATCTTAATTATTCACACTTTCACATATTTGAGTATCCTATATTGCAAAAAAGCTTACTGATGTTGAAAGTTATCTGTCAACAAAAAAAAAAAAATTTTAGCACTAGCATCAAAACAGCTTCACCTGCCATCCTGACTACTTGCTATCCACTACTGCCTAACTGCTAGGAAATTACTCTCATACATAAAACTACATAAATACATGATTTATGTAGGCACATTCTATTTTCTATCATATTAACACAAATAAGCAGTGCTATTGTGAAAAAAAAAAAAAAAAACATTTGTGTGACCATTTCACAAGGATTTTTGTAATCTGCTTCTTTCAACTTGAAAACTAACACTCAATAATAAAATTTATTTAAATTTGTAGAGCCATATTGAAGAACTCGTTATTTCTTCATTAATCTTCACCTATTCCTCTACATGTGCAAATATTAAATAGAATATTTTATATTTTTTTTTAAATACATAATAAACAAATATTCACTTGAAATAAAATAAAAATCTCCAATTGTACATAATTTTCATGGCTTCTCATTAACAATGCATTATTAAATAGCTCTTCTGGATGAGTAATCAAGTTTTTTTTTTTTTTTAATTTAATTTTAACACCTACAAATCAAAACTGCTATCTTTAAACCATATTAGAAAACCATTCTTGCCTTCCAGCAGCGTGGCTGGTGCTAACCTCCAGGAAAGTGACTCATTGCACCTTCTTGGGCTCACATTTTCCACTGACATGAAATGGAACAATTATATTGAATCAATTGCTAGGTCTGGTGCTAGGAAAGTTGGTTTACTGTGTCATGTTAGACAATTTTTTTCACCAAAATCTATATTAAACATTTATAAGTCTACCTTTCATCCATGTATTGAATATTGCTGTCACATCTGGTCTGATGCTATTACTATGAATTTAGAGATTCTTGATAAAATTCAAAGAAGTATAAGCAATGTTATCAGTCCTGATCTAACATTTCTGCTTCAGTCACTTTCCTATTACCATAATGTAGCTTCCCTGTGTCTTTTCTATAAATGCTTTTATGGTAATTGTCCTAATGTACTTTAAATTTTAAAAATTTAAGTGCAATACTAGATTGTCAGCTAGGTCTCATCATTTTACAGTTGAAACTGCTATATGCAATCATAAGTTCTATGCTAACAGTTTCTTTTCTCACATCTGGCAACAAGGCCTCTGATCGAGAGGTTTTGAGGAGCATGGAACCACATCTTAATAGCTGTTGTTCCCAGATCCACCCTGACCGAGGGTGGTAGCACCTGTTAGGGTCCCAACTATGGGCAAATAGTTAACCCCATAGTATGGGGTCAAAACAATAGGAAAGTATAAAAATACATTTTCATAGTAAAACAAAAAAAAAAAAATACCAGCAATAAATAGGTGTAAAAAATTAAAAATTATCAGCAATACATTTTTATAAAAGAAATTACTAATGCTCCCAAGAAAATTAAATTTCAGAATTAAATGACTGTTGTAGCATAACTACGGATGATAATGGGTATGGTCCATTCACATAAATACAGTAGTAAATACTCTATGTTGGTCGGCAGTTGGAGATTCATGGTGGAATTCACTTGACTTACTTCTAGCAGTTGACTACTACTTCTACACACTACTGGCAAATCTTATTTGTTGTTCTTGTCCTAAGTATTATCGTTCATTACCAACCTTTGTGTGATTATTCTATTCAGTAACCTTCCTTGGGTTACAGCAATGATCCATAAGTTGATATGCCATTAAAAAAATTCTTCTCTCACACTTCTTGCTTGTGGAATTCTTCCAGCTACTTTCTTTTCAGCCAACTTTGATCTTCAAAAATTTAAATGCAATGTCAATTGTTATCTTCTGTCTTCTTGATTACTCTTCTTTTATTATTCTTGATCCTTAATAATGTTTCTCTTTTTCTTATTCTTTCACACTTGGTAACCCCCTTGTGCTTTAGTGGCTTTACCGTTTTGCTTGGGATGAAGTGATTAAAAGAAACAAAAAACTGTATGTGTGTTTAGACCACTGAATGAACAAGAAATAAGAAAACGTCTCATACAAAAATTAATACTACCTCTATCCCATAATAGTCGTTATGCTAAAAGTATGAAATGTGTATGCAAATGTAACTATTATGGGATAGAGTTAGTAT